TTAACAGCAACCCAGTAAACCTGAATCCCTAAGCCAGAAAACTGAAACCTTCCCTGCCAAAAGGATTTTGGGTGGGAGCATCCAAAATGAGGAACCCTTATCGCAATGCCCCGCCCACGAACTCTAGTATAGGTACCCCAAACAGGACATGAGAAACTTGAACGCCGACCGTATACTAACAAAAAAATAGGATACAAACTGGGGGCAGGCAATCACCAAAATTAGATACTTTGGAAACTCCCAAGCAATCACCGCAGGAACAGGCAAACGAGGAAGCTACCAAGAAGGGCTGGTGCCTGGGGCAAAGCATTTGGAACAAAACCGTTGGTTATCATATTGGGGGGTATATGTACATATAGAGGATTAAGTCATGATGCGAGGTAGGATGTCTACGGTACCATGGTCTCTGCTGAGTGTGTCTAGGGTTTCTGAATGAATATGGGTCAGTGTGCATGTGGGACGTCCTTTTGCGATGACTAGAATACAGATGCTGGAAGTTTCCAAAAATCAGGGGTCTTCTTGGAATAGGATTGCTGCAGACCTTTGGGCACTAATTCTTCAACTTGGCGTTTGGGAGAGTCAAGGACACCTAGTAGGGAAGTCAATTCATGAAGGGAACAACTGGAGTTGTTACATGGTTTACAGGGGGTAGACGTGTACTTAGTCTCCCTAATGCTCCAAGGAAACATATAAGATTTGAGCACTGCCGCAATCCCAAACTAACAGAGCCAAATCATGATCCCCGAGCCAAACACCCTAAACCCTAAACTCTAAACCTAGGTGCGATGCTGAGATGACCAGCAACAAGGCCACGCGTGAGGAGAAGTCGGACGAAGCAGACTCCCTGCAGTCTGAGATCGTTGCTGGGATAAAACGAGGTTTAGGGTTTAGGTAGGTATTTGGACGGTTTTGGTACGTTTATGTAGTGTATACGCCGCCAAGACTATTCGGATTGCCTTTTCGCTATACGGAGATGGATGCGTGAGGGCCGAACGGTCAAACGTAAGAAGTTTTTGCGAAATCTTCAGGGATATCATGAGCACATTTGAGCCATAACAGCTCACATAGTTTGCAGCAAGTCTGAGCACAGTCCTGAACCCAGACCCCTGGGAGGATCTAAAAATTAGATCCCCTATATAGACCCATTATAACCCCTATATAATCCTTATATAATTCCCCCTATGGTTCTAGGGGATCTAATTTTTAGATCCT